TGGGATTATGGCTTGTTTTGTTATGTGTAGAAGCAACACTGGTTCATCCCTTGAATTAGGTAGGTTTTTTTTTTTAACTCCTTAATGATTCATATGTTAGTGTCAAGTCTTTAAAAAAGATTGCTATGAGAAAGGTCAGATGTGAGTGAGTGTAACAGTAGCCAATATAAAGACCTTTAGAAAGCCTGGAGAATTATTACTCAAGACAAAAAGAAAAGAAAAGAAAAAAATACCGGAGGAAGTCTGGCTGCTTGGCAGCAAAATATAAACAAAATAAGGGGGCTCAAGAGTTTTGCATAGCACTGTGTAATAATTAAACCAAGCTCTAAATAACCAGGACAAGAAGGCATACAAAAATATAATAAGATTGTTATAAACATACCAAAAACTTGCCTTAAAAATGACAAACCTTGTCAAAAATACACTACTCTGTCCCTTACATTGTAAACTGGTACCGGTAAGCTAATTTACTAAATTAACTTCAAAATGAACCACTCTTAACAGCCCAGAGTCCACTCAACAAAAAGTGTGTATGTAAGATAATTATGTTTGTAAGATAATTCAATTTTATCACATTCTTCTGGACAAGGAAAAACAAACAAATGTTTCTACACACAAGCGTAGGGAAAGAGAGGACCGCAGGACACTGGATTGAGGAAGTGACACATGTGCAGCGACATGTTTTGCCACAGTGCATGACAAACACTGACAAGGTAATTTTAGATAGTCACTATTTATCTGTTTCCTCCCTCTCTGTAGAGAGAGACACCACTTCTCACAAAACACATTGATGCCTCCGTGTGTGTGTGTGTGTGTGTGTGTGTGTGTGTGTGTGTGTGTGTGTATATATAGAGTCTTCTCTTCCAGCAGTCATAACAATGATGTTTGAAGCAGTGTGATCTCTAGAGAGTCAATGTGCTAACTAATTTGTTTCAGTTTGAAGAGATAAAAATGCAAAAGTGTGAGTTTCAGCGCTCTTCAATTCAGAATATGGTAGTTAATTAGGAGTGAGAACACAATCTTAAACAATGAGGCATCACAACCAAGACCCACAAAGGTAATGGACATATTGATCATCCAAATAGGTTATTCCTTACTTTTTCTGCCCCAAAATACAAGTGTTTGGACCAAACGCTGTATTATTAAAAAAAGAAAATAATGATGATAAGTGCATTTTTTGATTTAAAGCACAGTTTAAAAGCTCCAAGGCTGAATTTTTTGTTTAACAATTTAAACTACGTCATCAGAAATTCCTTTACTTAGCACGTCCTTGGAAAGCGGCCCTCTCCCCCCCAACTATTTGTTCTTGCATTAGAGCGGACAGAAACTCTGAGCAGATCCTCATATTAACTGCTACAATACAAAACAGGACTCTCATAATATCACTGTACAGAGAGGATATTTTGATTTATAGTGCCAAGCCACAACAAACGATGCCCCATCTTTGTTTAATTAACTTATTTGGAAGTGTTGTCGAACACTGCACTAGACGGTCTGAAAGTGAAATCACGCCTGTTACTAAATGAACCACAGACCAGTGGTTTAATATCACAAAATAATCTAATTATTAAGGAATCCTAATTACAAGACAATGTCAAGAAGGTTTTAGGAAAACATCTTTGTATCTAAATAACAATCTCCTTGTGAAATTAGTCACATATTAAGTTTTGGATGCTACACCTACCTCACCATTTAGAAAAGTAAAGAGTAAATGCTTTTGTGTAACTGTTGGATGACATCATTACACCTTTTCTGGACAGTATTCTACTCCCTTTTCTTCTCTTATTCATTTAAGGGCAGACTACCCCTTTATTTTTAATGAAACACACAGACAACTCATTTCTTTGGATTTTGGCTGCCTTTTAGATATATTGCAAAATCCAATCGTAGTTTTCTGGGTTCATAATTTCATCAATTTTAACAAGATCCTCAACACCACTGACTGACGTGCAGCTTGAAAAGCATGACAGGGCCTCCACCATGTTTTACAGATGGCTGTAGACATTGTTGAACCTCTTTTTCCTTCTCCATCAATACTAACAGAAATTTTAAACAAAAATTTCAAATTTGGATTCATCATGCCATAAGACCTGTCCCCACTGACTTTCAATCCAGTTCTTGTGAAATTTGGGGATTCATGGGATATTTGTTCATCTGGTGTAAGTTGTTGTTTGTTTGTTTTTTTTGTGTGTGTTTTTTAAGGCCTATAACCTCTTCCTTTATCCTCCACTTCTACAGTTTTCCAAATAGCTCTTCTTTGGGATTTTTTAAAAGATTAAACTTTTTAACTGGAGCAAATTTGTTTTTGCAACAGGCTGTTAGTAACAAATTGCCTCAGGATACAATTGAAAATTGATTGTCTGCTATGTGTAGATACAGGACTGATTAATTCCTGAGGGATTTCTAGGTAGGAAAAGAGAGAAAAAAAAAAGAAAAGCATCCCGTGTAAAAGGTCAGGTACATACGTTGGACTAAAAAATGCGTGAAAAAGCAGCCAAAATCCAAAGAAAACCTTTGAAAGACCTTCAGAAAGAGAACTACTGCTCAAGACTACTTTAAAAATAAAAAAGTGTGGCTCCTCGTAAAATATAAAGAAACAAGGGGAGCTCAAGACTTTTGCAAAGGACTGTATATCACAACCAAAATGCCAAAAAAATAAAAAATGAAGCCATCATTGAATATACATACAAATGCCTGAAAAAGAAAACTACAAACATGGGCCTTCGTTTCTGAAGAATCTTTGCAGTGACATCTCTGGGAAACATGACGAGCAGCACAGTGACGCTCCATCTTTGTTGTTATATTAAAGCAATTCTTCCTCATGGATCACAAGGGATCATCGTGTCTTACAACATTACCACAACAAAGGTTGTGGCACCACACAGTATCTTTGTCAACAAAGAATATTTGAACAGTTTTGTTTACCAAATCATAGCAACAAGGACCTCTGGGCAGCAAAATGTCATTGTTCTAAATTAGCTTTTAAAAAAAGAAAAGAAAAAACAAAGAAAATAAAGTTGCTAAAATGTGCAATTTCTGTTAAAATGTGCAATTTCTCCAAGGAAACCATAAGACTGTGGTAAAGACAGGAGGTCAGTAATGATAAAAAGGCAGTGCAGATAAACATCAGGGGACACACCCAGAGCCTAATCAAAGTGCAGCGCTCTGTGACGGCTGACGACATTCAGCCACTCGTGTAAACACTACAGAAGTATGACGGAGCGTGAGAAAACAAGAGCACAGCGCACACCAAACCACAGACGCTAAAGCACAGAAACAGAGACGAGGCAGACACACAAGACCCAAAACACACCACAGTGAAGCTTCTTAACACTGTTGTACATTTGTGACGTGCACAAATACAGTGATTACCCCCCCCCAAAAAATGCCTAAACACAGTTCTACTGCAAAAGCAGATACTAATCAGCCCCACAGGCACGCACACACACAAATAAACTGTTGGTAAGCTGTTTTGGCAGTGATGTATGTAATGTCGCCAATGGTGTGGTTTACACTTGGGGGACATGACGTCAAACACACACAAAAACACGCCGGTGAACTTACCTGACACTCTCCTGTTGAATCTGCTTGGTGGTGGAGCTGTGAACAGACAGAAAGAAAGAATTCTGTTTTAATGTGGTGACATTTAATACAATTTCATGATTATATGGAAGAAGAAAAAAATCCATATAACTATTTTGTACTCTGAATAGACGGTGTTCATAATTGAAGGAGATTGGACAAAAGGTAGACAGACAGAAATAATGAGACTAAGTGGGACACATTCAGAGATGCAGGTGGGCAAGAAGATTTAGAGAGAAACCAAGTGCAACCAGGAGAGATTTAGAGATAAGAGAACGCAACAAAGAGCATTTTCAGATTAGCACAGTTATCAGTCTCTTTATACACATTAATGAGCAGTGACTAAAAACACCAGCATACACACACACATACAAACTTTCCCTGAGCTGAAGAGATGCATTTTTTCATGACTACAAAGTGGAAAAATAAAACAAAAGTTGATCACAAAAAAAAAAAAAAAAAAAAAAAAAATAGAGATATGAATGTATTAACAAATAACTTAATAAGGAAGTCTCAGATGCATGTTTACAAGTAAAACATTTCTAACTAATCGTACGTGTAATGAAGGTTATGCTGGAATAAAATCTAGCTGACAGATCACATTACATGTAATAATCATTTGGTTGCCTAAATAAGCAACACAATTCTCCCCCCCCCCCCAAGTGTTGACAGGTTTCTGCGTTCAGAGGTTTGCGGTTTGTTTATATTTTGTTTCAACAAGACTACTTGTATGCACGCCAGTGTAGCCAGCTTCAAGCTGCTGCAAAGCACTGTTTGGATGCACAGATGCTGCTGGGGCGCTGTTAACATTTTTGAGCCGCCAGGGTAGCACATGTGATCTGTCTCTGCTTTCAAATTCAGCTTTCAAGGACTCAAAACAGCATGCACCTCCACTACCAGTATGTAACGGTAATCGCTGCAGATCAATGCAATGTGATGAAGAAAAAACAAAATATGAGGCGGCATGTTGTGTTTTTCTGAGTTCTGCTCATCCTAGTTTGGGCAATAAAAAAAATCAATGTATTCCTGAAACCCAAAGCTAAACACATTGTACTCTGTACAAACTAAACAAACACTGAGCCAAATAATGGTCAATGCATTTACATTAATAACTGCATATTCACAGAGATGCTTATCAACTTGCGTCATGTTCATACAAGTGGATGGAGTGCACTATGAACTCAGATTACAATAAAGTTTCAGATGTGGTGAGATGTGTAAAATAAAGTGGAGCAACCCTTCTTTTATTACACTGCCCTATAATTTATAAATAAGAGCAATCATGAAAAAGTCCCCTTATGGTGTCAATCATGATACAAGGAGCAATAAAACAAGAAATGGACTTTGCCTTCAGTCTTGATTAAAACACCTAGTAAAGGCCTTTCTCCTTAGGGACACCAATAAACTTGTATGTATTAATACTGAACACTTTATCATGCTACAAACGAGCTATCCACAGTGCATACCAGACATGAAAAGTAGGGCTGTAGTCTTAGAGTTAACTGGGTGAGACTACAACCTGAAACTGGTCTAGTTCTGCGAGTGTAAGCTGACCATTTGGGCATGGAGCAGCTACACTCACTGCTGGTGCTGCCCCTTTTTGTTGTTTTGGGGGTTTTTTTCCCCAGACTTTTCCCAGCTGAGCCACAGGAATACTTGCCAGGAAGCCATCCTTTTGCTCACAATCTTTTCTCCTGGCTTTATGGCCTCTCAAGATCAAGGACCGGTGAGGCCCTGTGGCAAAGAAATTATTAATAGGGCAATGAGCTCTTCAAAGGAAATAAAACAGCTTTAACATTTCTAGCCGTTATTATTCAGAGTTTGGACAATAACACATTAATTTCCAGTGTTACTTTGATAGTTGATTATATAGGAGCTGGCTTTAGCCAATGTTAGTAACAACATTAAACCCAAACACAGGAAAAACATCCTACCTAAATCAGGGAATGTTTCCTGGAAATGTTTCAACAACAACTATAATCAAGTTTAATATGTGGTCATGATTTCAAGTCCTGCGCACTTGACAAAAGAAAATTTTCAGAGCTATGGCAGCCCGGAAGAACACAGCTGGGTATAAATAGATAGCAGTGTAGATGAGAGCATATGTACAGTGAAACAATGTCTCAGCTGTGTGTGTGTGTGTGTGAGTGAGAGAGTGAGAGAGAGAGAGAGAGTGTTATGGCTGGGAAGTATATCTACTTTAGTGCATTGATAGGTTTTCAAATGAGATACAAAATGAGACAATATCACTTCTATCTAGACAAACTAAAGTTGGTTACATAATGTGTTTCTTCGGTAAAGCCAGTGCAACAGCTGTGCCCTCGAGTTTGTATGTGATTGTGAGTATTTAAGTCTGTGTGCAACATGGCCTTCATTTACGCACGCAGAGGGTAAGTTTGAGGTTCTAAACACCTGCTTTTTAGCAGTGGGCTGTTACAGGCCAGCGTGGGTATGGTTCACGGCTGAAATACAGATACACACACACAGCATGTGTCTATTGCTACCTTATTACCATCCTGTCAGAGCAAATTAGATCTGGACTGTGAAGACAGGAGCTTGGGGAAAACTCACATACACACACCACTTTACTGCAGTCATCTGGGGATATGGAGAGGGTTTAACAATGCCTGCTCTCTCTGGAGATCAGGCTTACTTTGGCTCAACAGATAAAGCCATAGAGGGGTCCTAGTTAATAGTACACTGACATCTGTGTCACATCCAAGAGTAAATGATACACAAGTGTGTGTGTGTGTGTGTGTGTGTGTGTGTGTGTGTGTGTGTGTGTGTGTGTGTGTGTGTGTGTGTTAGCTCTCACATATATACCAGATAGTCAGGTTCTTGTGATCTCCTTTACTTGAAATCTGGATCTGCCTGCTTGCATGTTCAGTTTTAATGCCATGCATGAGTAAAACAGTGTCGGAGCCTCCCATAAAAGTTACAAGCCCAACAGAAGCAGTCCTTGGCAGACTGTGATTTAACCATTCAAATAAAAGCAAAAACCTAGCTCTTGAAGAGGCTCTGCACAAAGCAGAGGCAGATAATCTTGTGTTTTCTCATAAAACTGGGTGGGTAATGTTAATGAACATTAGCCAAAACAGGAAGTAGATTAATTTTCATTTTGCCAACACTAATACATGGGGGGGGGGGTGTTGTAAAATAGCACTTTGACAAACCAATGTTTGTCTAAGAAACAAAACAAAAACACCCCACAAATGGCTCATAAATACAGATAAAAAAATAAATAAATCCAAAAGTAGTCTTTTTTATCTACAAAAGGGTCACTGTTTTGTTTATCACATGAGCAGTCAGTGGTGACACACAATTACACTGATATCCTATTTCACTTATTTAACAGGGAGCCTAATATATTTCATGTGAAATTAGAAAAAAATCTCAGTCCGGGCACCTAACTTATGTCTTACAGTAGTGATGTCAGTATGGCTTCATAAATGCACACTGTTTTCTGTATTGGTAATTACTTTAAAAACATCTTCTTATTGATTTTTACAAGCTACAATGGGAAAGTCTAACAACACTCTGACTTCAGATGCGCCGTCATGCAACCAAAGTCAACAAGTCTTAGCTTCACAGAGAGCAGTAGTATACTTTTGCCCTTTTTTCACATGTTTAGTTGTTCCTCCACCTCTTTCACTGGAAATCATGTCCATAAGAAATGTGGTCAGCACACAGCACTCGAGGTGAAGCCTGCAGAAAAGCAAGGCTGGAAAACAACCCACCCATTAGTTCAGGGTTAAAATTAAATGGTCTATCACTGACTGTAAGTGTTCTTGAATAAACTAGAATACTGTTTTCTATAACTAACAAGATGAATATGTGCTGTAGTTAACTTGGACATCAATGCTAAAATACATAACAATGTAATATGCCTTTAACACACATGCACATAGCACTAACATTCTTCCATCAGAGACCTCAGGTTCACCTGCTCATTCATCTATCAGCCCTTCCATAAGAGCTTGGTAGGTCTGAAGATATACAATTTGTGATACACTGAACGAAAAACATAACATAAGCTGGTTTCTTAAAAGAGGTGCATTGAGAAAAATCCCGACACCACCTGGGAAGATTTAACTTCAGCTTAACCTAATTTTTACCCTTTCCCAAACACACTTTTCTCTCCCTTCAACACAATCCCCATTTCCCTTAAGCACTACCATTCACCCACCAACAGGGAGGACGCATTCCAAACTGCTTAAAATGATTTGTTTTGATCCGACTCAAACTCACGAACAGGTCAGATCGCTGCAGGTACCGCAGGCAAGAGGCACAAAGACGAGAGAGGAGAGAAAAAAAAAACAAAAAAATATATATATATATATATTATATAGTATATATATAAATTTTACACAGAATATTAAGATCCACAATAGACCACAAAAGGCCATGCTTGGAAACACTGATGTACTTTGTTCAGCAAAAAGCTGCTATAATGCCCACCTCACTGCTCTTTGACTGAATATATGCAGACAATACTTTGTTTTACGGCTGTTGTCTGTACTTTTGCTCTTTACATTTAAAGCACACACTGATTTCCGGACCACTGTTGCTTAGGTTTCACGTTCCTTTATATGGTCTATCTAAAAGACTAACTAATCACATATTTTACAAGTTAATACTGTCCTCCTCCGTGATTTTACTGTATCCTCAAATGGTGCCTAAATTCTTTTGGGTTTTTTGGTGTTTTTTTATTTGAATGCAAAAGATTGATTTCCTCTTCTTAGAGTCCAGAAGTTTTCAAAGGCTCATCTAGTTTCTTTTGGGCAGAGACAAGTCCATAAGAATTGCTTTTAACCTCCTAAGACTCGAACTCTTCCATGGCATGCATTTTTAATTTCTCTTTGATATTTGGGCATATTGAGACCCGATGAAATATAAAAACAAAGAATTACCAGATTTTTTTTTACACGATTTTTGTTTCTAAGAAAAATAAATGAGAGCCACATATGAGGACATTCGTTTAAAATTTCGATAGAATAGTGGCAGTATAATGTCCTCGTAAGTGGATATCAGGCCCTTGTAGAGCTAAATTTAGTATTTTGGTCTAAATAACCCAAAATGTGATGTCCACATATGTGGACACCAGGTCCTAGGAGGTTAAGTTCCCGTTGGTTGTCTGTGTCCCCTGATTGTAGGCAGCATACTGCTTGATTCCATATAACACTGAGGGCTCTGATATATTTAGCGCTGCCCTGGGATTACTGCTGCTGTGATACTGCAACCATATTTCAGTGCTGCCATGAAGGTTGCACTGAAATGACAGTGGTATGAGGAGCTACACCCGCAGGATCTTATCACAAACTGCTGATCTGCAGCAGTTCATATAAGTGATGATCACTGCACTGGCGATCTGCTGCTGCACTGTGTTTACTTCAGAACAGACCATTTTAATGTGATATAAAGTCTGGGCAGTGACGTGAACAGTGAGATGACTTTTCTCTGGTCCTGTGGTTTTTTAGAGCTATGCACTTCACCACCATGTGTGTCAAACTGCAACCAAAGTCAACAAACGAAACAGCAAGTAGACGTGGATCTTTCAGGGTGATTTAGGTGCAGTGTTGAGGTGAGAAACAATTGTGCTGCAGAAATCTTTTCAGCCCCACCCCCAAAAAATCTGAAAAGTAGATCTCTAATATTTAAAAATAAATCTACTCTAAAAACCCATCGACTCTGGTCTGATGACTTTGCTGATCAAGTGTTCCAGTAGATGTTTGGATAATTTTCAAATGTCCATGCTAATGGCTAAAAAAAAAAAAAGTATATCTAAACCTTAACTGTAAAATAGTTTGTTTACAATAGTCAGTTTAAAAGTGATTTGGGTACTGTCACTCTGCAGAGTCCTCTGTTAAAAGGATGTAGATATAATAAAATTGTGTGTGCACATGCTTTTATGCATTTCCAGTGTGTGGGTGCATAAGGCTGCGCATGCAAAGCGTGAAGTGCTCTCCCTGCAGTCATGTGGCTGAGGGGGTTGGGGGCGGGGTAGGGTGGTGGTGGTGCCGGTACCAAGTGTACGCCTGAAGTTGCCTTGGCAACCTAACACAAAGAAGATCTCATTGCCATAACAACACAACCCCCTTCACACACACACACACACACACACACACACACACAC